CGTATAAGTGGTGGATAGTTATATGTCGCTACCACTCACATTCTTATGAGCTAATTTAGAGCTCTGCTGTTTTGCGCATGGATGGAACAATCCCCGTCTTATGATATGTGTTGATATGGTCACCATAGGTACTTCAGATAAGGTGCAAAGTGCAGGGCATATGTGGAAGCAAATGCAGAGGAAAACTCCAATGGTGAAGTAAGTACAAGTTGGTAAATCAAATGAATAAGTAAAGTATTGTACTCACATCTGCTAGAGCAGAACTTGCTCTAGCATAGCCAGCATGGGTGGAATATTCCCCAGCTAAGGATGTGTTGGTGCCAGGAAGCAGTTGATAAGTATATAAGATATATGATAAACTTTAATTTGCCAAACATAAATGGTTAAAAGCAGTATATAAATACTTAAAGGAGTCCCACTTAACGGGTTTCGCCAGTTTAAGGGCTTCTTCAGAGGTATTGTGCTTTTTCTTAAAATTATTTATTTGAAATGGAACGGTCATCGCCAGCTTCTGACAATGTTAGGATGACAAGGTCTTCTTCAGGCAGGAAACACAATCAATATATATTGTGACCAGTGCAGTGCAGACTTGCACATCAGATATCCAGTAGTAATATTAAATAGTAACATTTTTGAGCATTTTTTTTTAATTTTGCATTTTAAATGGTGCTGTGCCAATTACATTCCATGTTGTATCAAAGGTTTGTGTTTTTTAATGTTACCAAGTTCTATGTATACAGATGTTCGTTGTATGATTGATACTATTGATAGACGGAGAGTATGTGTGTACTCTGATGGCCACAGATCTGTACCCAAAGTAACCGCTATCATCCGATATCTTCTGTGCACTACCATCACTCTACAGAACAACCTCATTACATTATCTGCATATTCATCTCCTGTAGGCACATGACCTCATCCTCTTCCCTGCACAGGGCAAATCTGAGAGATGGTCATCAAGCTTATATTTGTTAATGTTTCATATAAGATGTCAACTGGTTCCATCAAAAAAATTAGTGGAAAGATAACTACCTTGGGTGATCGGTTTATATCAGGTTAGCAATTACTGTGGTGTTCCAACACACTTGTTATATTAGAATTTAGGCAACACATAACTTGGGCAGAACATTACTTACATCAGAATGACCAACATAATAGTTGCAGACTCATTTAATTAAACACCAGAGCTAAATGCCAGGTTTACAACCCAGAAGTTAATGGAAATAGTCACCCCAAGTTCTTGAAATAATGACATCTATAGCAATCTATTGACTTTTTATGAATGAAAAATCTGACGGTCAAATCCAACCAGCAGACCTTTACTTGGAAATCAATATTCTGTATGTTAGTTTTATTTGGTATGTGCCTACTAAGTTATGATTTTAACAATGTGTTCTTCCTCTCGGCTTGAAACTACTGTTTGAACTCATCTTGAGGCATTGTTAAAATATATTACATCTATGAAGCATCATTACTACAAATTTAATAAATTTAAAAGGACACTATAGGCACTCAGATTACTTCATCTCATTGAAGTGGTCTGGGTGCAATGTCCCTGTCTCCCTTAGTCCTGCAATGTAAAACATTACAGTTTTAAAGAAACTGCAATGTTTACATTGTAGTGCTAAGACTGCCTCTAGTGGCTGTTTACCAGACAGCCACTAGAGGCACTTCTACATTTACACAGAGTTTAACTCCATGAAATGACGCTGGACATCCTTATGCTTCGCATTAGGACATCAAAAATCTTCCAAATCCCTATAGCAAAGCATTGAATCAAAGCTTTTCTATGGGCCTAATGCACCCATATACTCATTGTTTATACTCATTACATTCCCCCCATCAAAGAGTGGATGGAATTGGGGGTGGGGGTGAAATCTGCCAAATATTGGGTATATTGGCATTGTGGCAAGCTTAGAACCAATAATTTGATTATTATATACACAATTAAACTGATTTATGCAAATTAAAATTTTACTGTTATCTACATATCTACATGTAACAAAAGTCCACATTGAGCACAGCAATTGATAAATCATGTTTCCACAATTCTCCCAGAAATGCAAGCTTGAAATGCAATTGAGTACGGACAGACATCATGTTTGAGGTTTTATCCTGTATTTCTGTAAGCACCTTAAACATAGGAGCACACTTTTATATGCATTTTGTTCCAACTGGATCATGGGTTGTGATCAAAAAGGACCAAAGGCCAGACACCAAACAATGATTGTACAGTTTCAACCAGCATGCTGGCTACTGGGTCTGGTCTAGGAATCAGTCTTTTTGACAAGATACAACAAAATTAACAAAGATATATATATATAGTTTATTTTATTTTTTGTGGCAGAAATTAATACATTAGCTATTCATTATACTTTCTGTGTGAAGTTTTTGTAATTATAAATGTCTAATTTATACATGTGTTTTTTGTCTAGGTGAAATGTAATAACTTCAGATCGTACTCAGCTATAAGAACACAAGATGGTGTATGGTGAATTTTTTCACCGAACGAAGAGTGACGAAGAACTTGTGAAACTGAATGTGGGCGGCTTTAAACAGTCAGTGGACCAAAGTACACTTTTAAGGTTTCCTCATACAAGGCTTGGAAAATTACTTAATTGCCATTCTGAAGAAGCTATACTAGAACTTTGTGATGACTACAATGTTACAGACAAGGAATATTACTTTGACAGAAGCCCTTCCTTGTTTAGATATGTTTTGAATTTTTATTACACCGGTAAACTTCATGTAATGGAGGAACTTTGTGTCTTTTCCTTTTGCCAAGAAATAGAATATTGGGGTATTAATGAACTCTTCATTGATTCCTGCTGTAGTAACAAGTACCAGGAAAGGAAAGAAATCGTATCTGAGAAGGACTGGGAACAGAAAAGTGACGTTATCAGCATGGGTTCCTCTTCTGACCAATCATCTGTGTTCGAAAAGGAACTGGAGATGTTTGATACATTAAAATTTGGAGGTATTCGGAAGAAAATATGGATCAGACTGGAAAATCCTGCTTTCTCTTTGTCAGCCAAACTTTTTGCCATTTCCTCTTTGAGCATCGTCTTAACCTCAATTGTAGCCATGTGCATTCACAGCATGCCAGAGTTCAAAAAGCTAGATCAAAATGAAAGGGAACTTGAAGATCCAGTTTTAGCTGTCGTGGAGATTGTCTGTATTGTTTGGTTTACTACTGAACTAGTGGTCCGACTTGCAGTCGCTCCATCTCAGAAGAAATTCTGGAAAAACCCCATGAACATAATTGACTTTGTCTCTATCATCCCATTTTATGCCACATTGGTTGTAGACACTAACGACGAAGAAAACGAAGGTATAGAAAACATGGGAAAGGTTGTACAGATTCTCCGCCTTATGAGAATATTTAGAATTCTCAAGCTTGCAAGACATTCAGTTGGATTACGATCCCTTGGAGCCACGTTGCGGCACAGCTACCATGAAGTTGGACTTTTGCTTTTGTTCTTGGCCGTGGGAATTTCAATTTTTTCAGTGCTTGTTTATTATGTGGAAAAAGACGAAGAACAGTCAGAACTTCACAGCATTCCCATGTGCTGGTGGTGGGCTACCATTAGCATGACCACAGTTGGTTATGGTGACACCCATCCTGTCACTCTCTACGGAAAGCTGATTGGCAGCGTCTGCATACTTTGTGGTATATTAGTGGTTGCACTTCCAATAACTATAATTTTTAACAAATTTTCTAAGTACTATCAGAAACAAAAGGCAATAGATGTGGATGGGTGCAATGAAGACGAGCAAAAAGATAAATTTGGTGATCTACCATATTTCAACATAAGAGATCTATATGCACGAAGGATGAACTCTTTTATTTCCAGCCTTTCATCTGTTGGAATTATTGCAAGTGGCAATGACTCAACAGATGGATCCAGCATCCAAGAAGTAGATGATGATTACTGTACACCTTTGAAATGACCCCTATGTGTCATTTTCACTTCTAATTTATGTTCCCCCTTATCCTTTTATTTATAAATCATTTCAAATGTCTTAAAAAGCTTTTTAAAGCCATTATATTCTTTATAGCACTTAATTCTCAGGGTATCACTTGTAGCCATATGTAAGCAACATTTAATGCTTTCATAATAATGTAGCATTTTTCTTAAATATAATAAGTTGCCTTTTATTTTTTTACATCAATCTTTTTTAATGCAGAAATATTAATGATAGCAAACGGATTATCTCTTGAATATATTGCATTACCAAATCCGTATCGTCCTTGCTAATGGAATAAGCAAGTTGGGCCAAAAGTGATACAATTATTGTGTCTTATGCACAACATGAACAGGCTATAACTACTCAAGATGCACTTAATGAACAAATGTACTCGTTAGTAAAATGGTCATAGCGGATCATCCAATTTTGGTTTATCTATGTAGCAGAATTGGTCTCAATTGATTGCATTTTAAGGTACATATTACAAAGTCAATATTGCCAGAAAAGCCCTCGCATGTACTGTATGCATTGAGTATTGAGGAACATGCATTACGAATGCAGGAAAGCATGTTAACGCAAATCAAATATGAAACTAATGAACGTAATAAAATTCCTTTGTCAGTGATGTGTTTTAGATGTCCAGTCTGTTATTTAGTAACTAAGACAATATGGTTTCAAACAATTAGTATTTAAATACACATTTGTCAGATACCCAGATCTGTTATTTATGAAAACTTAAACTGTATTAACAAGTCATTGTTTTGAAAAGTGCCTGTAGGAACTATAATTCTATTTGTTTTCAGTTATCATGCTTTCATAGGATAACGTAGCTGTTGACTTCAGAAAATATACTAAGCCACTTAAAAAAAAAATAATGCTGCCATTGAATTCTGCTTGGCAGTCAACCAACATCAAGATTCTTTAAAGGTCTATTCAAGGTGGCGCAATGTTACTAAAAATGATTAAAGTAATTTCTCTTCAGATTTGGATAATGTGAGAATTCAAGAACCCTTCTTGTGACAACAGCATTAAACAATTTTTTAAAATCTGATTTATTACATGGTAATGAAAAGTTAGGTACAGTGGAACCTCGGAACTCGAACTTAATCCGTTCCATTAGGCTGTTCGAGTTCCGATTTGTTCGAGAACCGAATCAACATTTCCCATAAGAATTAATGTAAATTTGATCAATCCGTTCCAGACCCCCACAATTACAGCATTTTAACACAAATTTGACAGTTTAATAATGCCTTACATGCATAAAATCATATAGGAAAAAAAATATTAAACACAATGTACAGTAAATGAAATTAAAATGTAACTTCACTTTACCTGTAATGATGAAAGTTGATGGAAAGGAGAAGAGATATTATTGTTTGAATGGGGATAGGTAACTGTTCTTCTGGCATTTAAAATGTGTCTAAAGTGTGTCTAATTGAACATGTTTGTGGCATGATTTGTTCGGGTACCAAGCAGTGTTTGTGTACTGAGATTTTTTTACTCAAAAGTTTTGTTCGACTTTCGAATTGTTCGAGAAAGGTACTGTTCGAGTTCCGAGGTTCCACTGTACTTTAAAACACAATCTGTTGTTTCAAATAATTTATTTACAAAACTTCCCATAGACTTCAGTGGTGGTTTCTTAGATAAGTAATTTGAAATGATTGTGACTGTGATCATTTGAAAAGCCTACCTAAAAGAATTAAATGTAGGCTTAGTGTCGAGATACTATAGTTTATGCTTTACAGCTAATTTTTTAAATAAATAATCTATTTAAAAATGCAAATTTATTTCAGTATGCTTTGCTAGTGCATCTCTTTAAATGTATGTGCCCCCTTTTAAAACATAAAACAACACTTTTAAAATACACTTCAATATACCTTTGGTCGAGCTCTGAGACATACTCCTCTCTGCAACTTGATCCACTCCCGCTGAAGTCAAGCATGATAAATATTGTCCAATGAAATGCTTCATAGAGAAGCACTGAGGAGATATGGTGCATTGATTTCATAAAAGAACATTAGATGTACATCCAACATCCACTGCCAGCACACTTTGCCTGCTAATGCCAGGTGCTAAATAGATTCAGTTATTTGATATATGTTAGTCGGCAGGCTTATGAAGCTGTCTGATTGGAAGCATCTAGAGGTGAGGAGATTCCCAAAAGAAAACAATGCCATTTCTTGAAAACTTCACTTATTTCAGGTGCAGGGCTGAAGTGATTCTGGGGCTAAGACTGTCCCTCTCAGTATCGGCTGCATTGCCACACAGGTTATAGCAGAATCATCCTAGTAAAGTGGATTTCTTGCATAGACTATCTCTATTTTGTGTGACAGTGTTTACATATAGCTAAGTACACACCTCTAGTGGCAGAGTTTCAATCATTGAAAGTGTTCACATTCAATATCATGCCAACATCATGCACAGTGCAATGCCATGGGACTGCTTAAATGCTTCCCACAGAAAACAATTGGATTTAGTGCTTCTCTATGAAAAGCATCTGATTGGTTGAATCCAGCTATTGTTGTGCATTCAAAGTAGGTCCCCAATGCTTCTTAAAGAGAAGCATTGGATTGGACCAATGTCTCTCTGAATGGAAGAGATGGAGCAGCTGCTGGGAGGAGAAAGCTCGGTATTGGATCACCAGTGAATTTAAAAATGTTTTAAAAGGGGGTCCAATAATGAAAAAGTGCCCAATTTTTTAATGTTAAATATATGAAATATATATATTTTTAATGCTAGAATGTTGCATTAAAGAGGGAAAAAAAGACAAATAGAGCATTAGAGGTTGTTGCAGTGAAAGCACTCAAATTGGAAGCAAACGAAAGAAGAGAAATTGAGGTGCCTACAAATGGTTGAGGAGCCAAAAGAGTTTATTTGACAGCATGGAAAGTGGAAGCGAGTTAAGGTAAGTGAAGATTGGATTGATGATTTGGTATTAAAGGGACACTGAATGCACTGTAACGGCTTCATCTCACTGAAGAGGCTGTAGTGTCTGGAGTCCCCTGGCACCGTCCTTCCATTCCGCATCCTGGTGAGTGTGTACACTTTTTATTTGCCCTATTGTAAATACTATTGTATTTTACACTATGTTTTTTATGTTTATGTTTTTTTAAGATTGCATTACCACATATTCCTATACGAAGGCACTGTCTTTGAAGCGATTAACCTTTTTTCTTTTTGGATTGTAACTATTACTATGGTGTTTTTGGTAGAAGGGCACTTTTGTTTTTCTTATGTATAGCAAATTTGGTTAGTGTACTTTCTCAGTGTTTGATTTATTGGATTTTTTAAATTATTTTTTTGGACGGTGTACATATTCTTGATTTAGATTTACTGTGGTTAAATTGAGCGGAAATATTGGAATTTGTTCTGAAGGTAATTAAATATAAATAGCTTATTCCCAGAGCATTAAAAAAATTTGCTACAAATCTCCAGGATTTAGCAATCACTCACTAGACCGGGTAGTCTTGCAACTGGGCCCTGCATCTTGGTGTCCCAGAGTGTTCAGAGTGACTGTGAATGCACTCTTGCAACTGGGCCCTGCATCTTGGTGTCCCAGAGTGTTCAGAGTGACTGTGAATGCAGCCACACTCATGCGCCCACAGTAAATAACTGTGTGATGCCATTCCTGTAATTTGAGGTCAGGGACGCTAATACATATTTTGTACATCTTTCTCTTAAGTTTATTAGTTTATTAGTCTATTAGTTTTTCTATTCCCTCCACCAATGGAGATGCCCAATTTATATTTTGTATGTAAGAAAAGTTACATATGGTAACATTGTAATCAAAACAGTGGTTCAGAGATGTGAAACCCATAGAGCTTTTCAAAAATAGCGTTGTTGATACTGCAACTTCACTATGAAGCAGTAGAAATGTAATTCACAATCTTTAGAGTTCGCATTTGTTTCTATGGTCCTTGCCCAGATTGAAAATGATTGCTTCCACCAAGATTGTGAAAATCACCCATAAAGCATTGTGGCTGCTGGAACAGGGTGATAACAATAGTAAAATGGTAGGGTAAAAAATACAGAGCAAGGAATAAACACATAGTCACACCATTTCTGTTGAGATGTAAAAATGTGCATTCTCAGTTCCACCTCTAAACTGGCCAACAAAAGATGTTCATCCCCTAATCCAATGTTTTTCAACGTAAGCTTTAGTAGACTCTCTCAGGAAGCTCAGCTCAGTTATATCTACTGAGTATTGGATATCTGCTTTCTAAAGCAATATGATGGATCCTGCAACAGAAATCTGTGCAACCTTTACCTTTAGTGAGAGACTTTGTGAATATTGTTACTTAGAATAGAACTTAGAAGACGTTCCCTCTTGCAGAATAGGCAAGGGAAGACTAACTCAGCACTTCCAGCTCCAAATGTATAAGTATGTCATATATAGCTTGATACTATAGTATACATTAGGGTTAATAGCACCCTAGGTGTAAATAACACAAAAGAAAATCGATTCTATGCAACTAGTGTTAGTTCTTTAAGAACTATTTGACTAGAGAAATCTAACACTCTGGAAGGCCTCTGCCCTTGAAGTCAAGTACGACATTCATGTCATTGCAAGAATGAGTGTTTTTCTGTCTGCAAATGATCAGTGAACATGATAAGTGCAGAATGCATCTTTAACAGACACTATCTTGTCCCTATCAATGATGAAGGATGAATTGGATGTAATCAATGATCTGAGATGGCAGCTGTGTTGGATTATATTTTAACTCATGAATATTCATGGCTATCAAAGTCACGTCACGTGTATAATACCGAATTAGACACAGCTTTAGCACAGTGTCTACAACCATCAGTACTCAAGGGAAAAGATACACTATCACTAAAACTAGCAAGAACTAAGTGGCTTCTATCGTCATAATGTTCCCCATGGCATCATTAAATCGTCCGTTCTCATGCTGTTTTCCGCGAATTTAAAGGAGGAAATGAATAATCCACAAGAAATCAGACTAACAGAGAAGCTGAAAAGATCTCTGTCATGTACTGTGGGAAGAGAGAGAAAAAAGAGGGTTTGTTCACTAAAACGTGAATTGAAAACCAAATTGTAAAATCCATACTAAAATAGCCAAGCAACGGCCAGCGGAATTTGTTGCAGAATTTAGGTGGACACAGCTACACAAATATAGGCATGGAAAATAATGTTACAGGTACACAGACAAACAAACTTACAATTATGCATTCAATGAGAAGAACCTACGCACATTCAGGCATGTCACTTTTGGAATTATACTTACACTGATGACTTACACTTTGGTTAATAAACCAAATAAATGCCTCCTGTTCCTTGTACGTATAGCAGGCTTACTGAGTGTGGACCCAGCTAATTTTTTTACATCTTGGATGGGGACATAGTGGGGGTGACGCCTCAGCTCCTTGTTGTCAGGAAGATACAAATCCTGGGATGTCAAGGGAGCATTTGCCTTGGTGTCTCCTTCCCCCCGGATGGATCTGTCCTTGGCTACGACGAGCTGGGAATATTTTCCCTTCCGCAATTTTGCCCTATATGATATTTGTCAATATGAAGCCTCCTCTACACATTCCCCACAAGTGTGATCACATCCTATTCCCTCACCTATATATTCTTCACTGGACTGTGTGTTATTTGCTCGTTAAGGTAAAGCAAGATTCTTGATGTGGTAGTCAATTCCATCAATCCTCTTGACTGTTCGGAATTGACCTTCTCAATTCTTAAGCACTTTGGCTTCAGGCTAAACATTCACTAAAATGATACTGTATTTCATAGTCTCGTATTGCTTGTAGGCTGACAATCTATCTATTGTCTTTGTGTCCTGTTCTGTTCAGAATGGAGCCTAATTGCAAGCATTACTCCATGTCTGGCTCCCTGTACAGAGGGGACATTATCTCTCATTTGCCACTCCAAGTGCTTGGCTTTTTTTCTCTCTGGCTGGTGCATATTGTTTTTTGGCTGTTCTAAATAAAGTTTTAAAGTCTACTATCCACTGCTGAAGGTCATTACAGTATTCAGTTCCAGGGGAATTAGTAATGCACTATACAGTTTATAGGTTATCATATTTTTGTAAGATTATTTCATTAGTTGTGCCAATAAAAAGACATTAAAAAAATGTCCTCAGACAGAAGCTCCTAAGGCTCTACATAAATATAAAAATGGTCTGTTTGTATTAAAATCACATACACATTATGTATATATTAATATACCCTGTTTTTGACAGGTTCTAACCTAGCAACTTAATGCCTGCTCCTATAAGATTAAAGGG